CGGCTGACAGGGCTGTACATAGCTCCCTGAAACCATTACAGCACCCTTCCTCAGTACTTACTCGAGCCCTCAGCCTTGATGCAAGCAATGGGAGGAGTTATGCAAATATAAAAATGCCTGAATGGGTGGGAGTTTGGAAAAGTGGGCGTTCCTAGGCAGGCTGTGTTTGCATACAGACCAGCCTAGGTAACGCCCACATGTGATGTTGAGCCTCCATGATTGCAGTCACCTATTATCTTCATTGGTTGCTGGTTTTAAGCTGCAGATAAACAAAGGGGAGGGATGCTGTGACATCATTGCCCTTATATGGACACATTATATTTGCTCAGTGACATTGACCCAAGATGGCCATATAAGGCCAATGATGACAGCACAAGCACCATGCCCCTCTGCTTATGTGCAGCTGCTGAGCGGGGAATGCCCCAGGCCTGCAGCTGATTGTATGGGTGGCCCCATGTCAAAACTGGGTTTGGATCGGGTTCATTCGGAACTTGAGTTCCTCCCTCATTACACATACATAAACAAAGGGGCGGGTGTCTGTGACATCACTGACCTTATATGGACACATGGCTAGTGACATTGACCCAATATGGCCATATAAGGTCTGTTGGGAGGGGAATCCCTTGGCCTGCAGCTGATTGGTTGGGCGGCCCCATGTCAAAACTGGGTTTGGATCGGCTCGGGTTCATCCTGAACTTGAACTCCTCCCTAATTACATATAATAAAATAGACACAAAAGGGGCGGGAGCCTGTGACATCATTGCCCTTATATGGACACATGGCTGTATTCAGTGACATTGACCCAATATGGCCATACAAGATCAATGACGTCAGCACAGGCACCCCGCCCCACTGTTTATTTGCAGCTGCTGGGAGGGGAATGCCATGGCCTGCCGCTGACTGGATGGGTGGCCCCGTGCCACAATCACTTTTGGGGGGACCTCAGGCTCAGACTGGGCTCGTTCTGAACCTGAGCTCACCCCTAGTCACATTTAATAATAAAATACACACCCAGAAACAAAGGGGTGGGATGCCATCATTGCCCTTATATGGACACATGACAATAGATGTCTTATCCCTCCCCCCAAGCTTGAATATTGGGGTGACCTCTATTGTCTGCCACACTGGGGGTGACACCTGCTAGCTTCAACCATGTAAATACAAGCAACACCTTATCTCCATGAGGTCTCTGACCCCCGTGCTGGTTCTGATTTCACAGATTATGTGGATTGGAACATTCACCCAATTTTTCCCCATTCTGAATGGAGAAAGCTGGTGGGATGACCAGCGAAACGTCTGGAAGAAAAATATACAGCCAGTCCACCCAA